AAGGACGTTGCTTGGCAGAATCCTTCCCATTTCACTTCACTCGTCACAGGCTAGCCATAAGTACGGTTGTTAAATGTTAATGAATCGAACGTTTGCGAACAAAAACTCGTTTGAGCTCGTTCATTTGTTAATCGAGTTGAGTTCAAACGAAAAATTAGGCTCATTTATCAATCGAACGAACACGAGTTCGTTCGCGAATGTTCGAGAACATTGCTTCATTATAATTTTATTTTATTTTTTTATGTATTTTACATGTTTTTTTAATAAAAAATATGATATGAAAATAAAATATGTTTTTATCTTTTCTTTTTTTTTTTCAATTTTCGAGTTTTAATGAGATTGAATGAACAGATTTTGAGTTAATCAAACATATTTAAAAAATTTGTATCCTAAATTATTCAATCACTAACTGACGAACAATTAAACGAATGAGCTCAAATACGATTTTTTGCTAGAAAAATAAACGAACGAACACGAACAATGTTCGAATGTAAACAAGCACGAGCTCGAAATACCAAAGCTTGGCTCATTCGAATAAATTACAGCACTAGCAGTAGCCAAGTCAATGAAACTGCAAAAATATTACATGAATCATGACTGATGTAACAGCAAAAATGTTTTGTGAGAAAAGGAAAAAGACACGTCTCTCTCTCTCTCTCTCTCTCTCTCTCTCTCTCTCTCTCTCTGATAGTCTAACTTGAACAAATATGAATTTTGCCCCAAAATGATTCCAAATTAGATCGGTATAGCCACTCCAATGAATGTTGATGCATAACTAGAACAAGAAACAAAGAGGCAAACAAACCGAGAAACTTGTAAATTGATTCAGCAAACAAATCGAGAGATAATGGGACGAGCGGAAACTCTCTAACTTCGCATCGAAAATAGAAATGAAAAACTTAACATGTCAAAAACCCAGAATTTCAGCGGCACTCTTGTATATAATGATAACGAAAGGGCAAATTATTACATATCCAACTTCATCATTAAAAATAAAAAGAAAAAAGAAAAGAGAAACGTGCACGACCAACTTAGAAATTCCCGAAGAAATCCAATCATGCTGCAACTGATTTCTTCTTCTCCTCCTCGATTCTTTTCAGCTCAACCAATCTTTCAGCCCAGGCTCTTTCCCTTGCAACGGCAGCCATCTTTCGTTCCACCCTTTTCATTAATTTTTTCTTTCTAGCCTCCTGCATTTGAGCTTTTCGCTTCCTTTTTTCAGACTACACCGCATCACAAGAGTATTAGAAATACATAGTTAGAAAATATCTCTGATGGGTATAAAGAACAAGCACAATCAAATATCAAGAACGAGGATAACTTGTAGTCTTTGAAAAATGACAGATGTTTAGAAGCAGAATGAGATTCTCAATTTAATTGAAAAATGACCAACGATAGGAAACCAATTCTTAGGCAGAGAACAAACAGCGTGAAAGTAAAATTCAGAGCAGCTGGCCGGTATTTGAGATACAGAGAACTTTAGTGAGCCATGGTTATATCAGTCAATAACCACCTCCAACTACCACTAAGGTAAGTCGATAGACGATAAAGAATTGGTTATCCTCCAATAGTTCTTTAGAAGAAGAAACAATTTTGGCATCATATTTGAGTACCCCAATAGGCTTCTTAATACTAATCCAAACTCTCATGCCTTCTCCATAGAAACCTATCACGATAAGCAGCTTGGGGCAGTTTCCAAGAGCAGAAAGCAATAGAACATATCCAAAGTTGTCACTATCCTAAAATCAAACTAGAGCTCAAAAAATAAATCACTCTTTGTATGCAAAAATGGAACCAAAATTGTATTCGTTTTGGAGGTGGGATTTGGAGTGAGATTTCGTATAAGGTTTTTTCTTTTGAAATCCCAGCAAATCTTAAAAAGTCTTAACAAATCCTAGTAAATACCCCAGGATTTTGTAAGACTTTTTAAAATCTCAAATGAATAACCCGAGACTTTTAAAAGTCTTAAAAGGTCAAAATTAAAATACACTAGGATTTCTAAAGTCTTAAAAAGTCTTTAGAAATCCTAATTGAATATATTTCTGCAGCTGTCACTTGGATCATCTATAATCAAATCCGAGGTCGACCTCAACCAAAAATAGGACCAGGATAACTCATAACGTAAAGTCAAATTCAGTCTACTATGACAGGTCTATGATGTTGCCTATTTTCATACTTAATTTCTGTGAGATTGTATTCAGTTGAACAAAGCATACCAGGAAGAGGTGACCAGATGAGTGCCTAAATTCAGTCTAAGCAAGAACGAATGGACCAAAAGTTCTCCCAATTTTATCTTCAGTGACTATAAACTCTCTGTTGAAACAAAAACTAAAGGTTATCCTCGTGTCTGTTAAATAATCTACACAAGCACTAAAACCTTGAATTGCCGCCTTCCCCAATTAAACAAATAGAAGTCACATACATTATGTTTATACACATTTCCTTCACCTCCTAGTCCTAAAATCATTACAAATAAAACCCATCCAAGGATAGGTTAAGTTTTTAGACGATACAGCATTTTTGCACATCCTCCGGCATCTAAACTAGGCAGATACCATTGCCAGCAAGAAATTCACCACTAAGATTAAAAACTTAGGGCACATCACTCCTCACAAGTGCACTGCAAAAGGTAGTTCTACTTCCGACTTCCAAGAGTTCACGTGCATCTCTTTGCAAGTAGCACTTCAATCACAATACAATTTACGAAACCGAACAACTAAGAGAAAATATCCTCCAAAGACAGTCAACATATAGAAATATACCATTATAAATTGGCGATGCTGCTTGATTCTTTTCTTCTCATTCCTCCTCTTCACACTTCCTTCATTTGGTTGGTTTGGAAGTATAGGTTCCCCAGGCACACATTTTACCCAGGCATATGGACCTACCCTTAATTTTCCCAAAGATGTGTTACAAATTTTCAAAGGCTTCAAAGCTTAATCTCACAGCATTATATTTTTTTAAAATGGAGAAAAATAGATGACGATGCCAAAACCCTAAAGTTCCCAACCTGGAGGTTTCAAGCTGGCCCTTTTGCGGCGGGGATGGTCGCTGGGTCTCCGTTTGGGGTACCTGGTATCCGTAAGGCTGTGGAATGCGCTGCAAGGCGTACACCACGGTGTGTTGCGGCGGAGGGGGGCGGATAGGTGGCGGAGCTCCGGGGCAGTGAGAGTGGAGAGGTTTTTCGACGCTGGGGATAAATGAGAGACGGGTAAAAGGATCCTTGATACTGGCTGGAGAATGGATCTTAGGGCTCCAAAACCCATGGCTGTTCAATGATCCGGATTGCGAGCTGGTTAGTATGGAGTAGGGGTGAGCATCGGTGCGGTTTGGTTTTTGACCGAACCGCACAGCAAAAAACCGATAACCGATAATCCTAAGTTTGTTAACCAAACCGCACCGCAAGAGAAAGAAAAACAGAACCAAACCGAAATTTTGGTTTGGTTCGGTTCAGTTTTTCGGTTAACCGCAATTAATAAAGGCTAAACACAATTTACACAAATCAAAGTTAAAACAATAGAAATCAAACAAAAGTAGCATCAGTAAACACAATTTCAATAGTACACAGCATCCGTAAACATCTAGGCTTCAAAAATCATAGGTCTCCATTTCTAAATAAATAAAATAAAACCATTTAAAATAAAATGATCCAACTCCAAGCAATCTATCATCTATGGAATGCAACCAACAACCCCTCAAAACAACAGCAAGCCAGACACCACTGCTGCTTGCAAAAAAAAAAATTAATAATAAAAAACCCCTAAAAAAAACCAAAGCAGCAAAATAGGAGAGCAGAACAGATCAAATTCAACTTTCACCTCTCATTGAGCATGATTTTCATGGTGAATGATTTAAGGAATTATTTCAAGATGTAGGTTCTTATTTGGATCTTCGCTGTAATCTATTAGTGAGTACAAATCTAGAGATGGAGATTGCACAATCAGAATCATAAAAATAGCATGTTAAAGATACATATTGGCAAGCATATTTTCTGAATAAGATTCTTCAATATGCAAATGATGTTCTCGATTATGATAGTACAATAGTAAATGCCTTGGCTCAGGTGATTGAAACTTGGCTATATGGATGGACGGTACAATAATTCTGAAATTTCAGGAAAAAAAGAAAAGTATACTAATTTATCAGATCTAAAGACACTCCCAAACCTGATCCTCGAAAGAATCGTCTATACGATATTCTAAACGTAAGCAAGTCTAAGGTCGAGATGGAAGAAATAAGATCTCGCACAACAAACACTGATATGATAATGATAACCACACAATTCAACAAATACAATGGAATACCAAAGGTGTACAGTTCCTCTTTGTTTGGTGGGATAGAAGTCAATCACTTGAAACGAGGCTAGAAATGGATGTAAAACAAAGGGGAATACACACTGCCTTTAGTTTATTCAATTCTTATGGGTTGTTAATTTATTCAATTCTTATGGTTTCCTCATGATACCATTCATTTTCCATGAAAAACTGCTCATCAAAAGCATCAGATAGCAAGTAGTAACCACAACAAATAAGTTTGAAAATACATGCAAGTGTTACTAGATTTATATATTCGGGCAAAGGGGAGCAGTCCCATATGAGGTATGAGGGCAACCCAAGTGCCACCTAAGTGAGGTTCCATCCCAAAACCGATTTGTGATATGAGAAGCAGCTCGTTTTGCTTTAAAAATAGCTAATTTTTCCAATTTAATCAAACTTGAACGGACGATAATTGTCCAAATCTCCATCACATATTCACATAATTCTGAAAATACAGCAAAATCCATCATAGACGAGTACTCCTAACAAACACCAAGTAAAAAATACAGCCGATTGTAAAACACAATCTCTATCGAAACAGTCAAGTGCAGCACAAAACCCTTCATATCATGACACTGCTAATAACTTCATATACTGTACAAATTTTACATCAATGGTTCACCCTAAAGTTCTAGCTATGTCGATATTTAGCCCATGTATTAGGTTTACATACAAAAACGTACACACACAAAATCATCAATCTAAGAACGAAGATTCGGTGACATTACAGGCATACGATGTGCAGAAATATCAAGAAAATCAAAAAACATCACATAATTTCTAAGCTTACGAGCAGGAATGTGATATGAACGAAACAAATCGGAAACGAAAACGAGCTTCGTACCAGAAAATGAAGAATTGAATTCGACCAGCTTCGATCCGTAGAACCTGCACAGGATTAGAAAAGCAAGAAAATGTATCGAGAGCTTTTTCCCAGTCCGCTCGGTGCGTGTGCGTGTGTGTGTGTGTGTGTGTGTGTGTGTGTGAGAGAAAGATTTCTACCTTTACCCTCCACAGAGTGAATCTGAAAGAAAAATGACCAAGGAAAATTTAATTATATATATATAAAAGAATATCTAATAAAAGTAATATTTGTTATAAAATGCGAGGAATATAAAGA